GAGAGAGAGAGAGAGAGGGAGAGAGAGAGAGAGGGAGAGAGACAGACAGAGAGACAGAGAGACAGAGAGACAGAGAGAGAGAGTAGAGTAGATTAGTGGTCATGGGGGCTGGGGAGAGGACAGGTAAAGGGTAGCTATTGCTAGTGGGTATTGGGCTTCTTCTGAAGGTGATGGAAATGTTCTGGAATTGGATAGTGGCGGTGGTTATACAACCCTGTGAAAAACCACTGAACTGTATACTTTAAAATGGTGAATTTTATGTTATGTGAAAATAGCTCAATAAAAAATGATTAATAGGAAGAATAACATTAAGTGAAAATTTAAGTTTAGTAAGAAAAAGCTTAGCTGGAAAGAGGGTTAAGAACAAGCTAAATGAATGAGAGAAAAGCATATTGTGTGTGCATGTGTGTGTGTGTGAGAGAAAAGCATATCGTGTGTACGTGTGTGTGCGTGCGTGTGTGTGTGTGCAGGTATATGTTACACTGAGTTTAAAAATTAGTATTTAAAAAAAATCATGCCTTGAGCCCTGGAATAAGAGGATATTCATATTCATAAGACAGATATCCATCTCAAATCAAAGACCCCCCTCCCCTCCCCCCACACCTTCCCACAGCAAAGAGGCTGGCGGTAGGAATACCATTTTGATCTGGGTGCTGTCTGTCAGCTGCTGCACGGCATACGCGTCCTCTGTGTTGTACTGGAGCAGGATGGCCATCTGGAACGTCGACGCCTTCGGGTCCCCACATGAAAGAAAGAGAGGCAAAACCTAAACGCGCGGACAACTCCCAGAGTACAGAGCCTCAGCGTCAAGAACCTACTCATGAAACCAATTCTCCAAACAGATGCGAAAAACCAAAGCAGATCTAAAAGGGAATACAAAGTGGCATAACTCCACCACGATGCCACATTTTCCTGAACGACGTCATTCTCCACCTCTTCAAACATTCAAGTGATGTTGAACTTTCTTCCAAATGCTTTGTCTGTATAAATACAGCTGGCCTTTGAATGCCTCGGAGCGGGGCTGGGTTAGGGGTGCCGAGCCTGAGCAGCTGAGCGGCCAAGTGTAACTTAGGATCGGCCCCGCGTATATGTGCTTCCTCCCCACCCGAGGACTCATATCCAGATTCAACCAACCGTGGATCTGGGCTGTGTAGTATTTACTACGGAAAAAACCCGCCTAAGAGTCGACCCGTGAGGTTCAAGCTCGTGTGGTTCAAGGGTTAAGTGTACACACCATCTATGCAGCCACACTCATTTTATATAGATAAACACAGAGATGCTCAGCCAGTGTAGACAGAAGAACTGAGCATCCATCTTTAAATTTGCTTTTCCACAAATACTAAAGAAAACTGTGTCTGGTACACCACTGACAGAGGAACCTGCACGTTGAGCTGTATTACGCTTGGGTGTTTTTTTTTTTTTTTTTTTTTTTTTTACTCCAAGTACTTCACTATGTAAAGTTTAAATGGTGTAAAGCAAACCACAACTGCTCTGAGGTATTTTTAGCAAACCGTGCGCCGGGCAGCACGCACTGGTTTTAACTCCTCAACCTGTGCAGGGAATGACGCCCGCTGAGGGAGGGCGCTCCGCTCCTGGGGGAGCCCTGGGCGCCGTGCCACACTCCCCATGGGAACCCCTTCTCCCTTCCCCTCTTCCATAACTCGCGGCAACAACTAAAGGGCCATGAGCACCGCCACTCGTCCGGGCAAAACCCTGGTCAACGGGGGGCGGGGGCAGCAGCGGCAGTGTGGGCGGGGTGAGTGCCTCTGACAGACTTCAGGATGCCGCCAGGAAAATGGCCCGGGGGGCACGGGGTGGGGGCAAGACAGCTCTGAGGTCTCTCCTGAGATGAGCAGGGGCCTCTCATCTCCGATGGCAGTGACCAAAAGCAAAACGAGTCTCTGATAAATGTTCCACAGCTTGGTGGTAGCCCCACAGGTGTCCACATTTGTCATAACTCCAACTGTACACTTAGATGGGTGTCTTTTTACGTAAATTATCTCAGTAAAGTTTACAGAATGTCCACTGATCAAAAAAGGGGCACTGAGATTTCAGGTACTGAAGTATGAACTCACAGATTCTTCTATGCACACTTGGGAATAAAGAAAAATTTCCAATCGTACAATTGACCCTTGACACAGGTTTGAACTGTGTGGGCCCACTTATACGCGGATTTTGTTTTTCAGTAGTAAACAGGACAGCGCTACAGATCTGAGGTCGGTTGAATCCAAATGCAAGGGAACCGTGGATACAGGGGAACCGTGGATACAGGGTACCGTGGACGCAGGGTGCCAACTCTAAGTTATGTGCAGATTTTCAACTGCATGGAGGACGGGTGCCCCTAACCTCCGCATTGCTCGAGGGTCAGCTGTAGAGAAATCCACATTCAAGTGGATAAAGACCTCTGGACCTGGTGTAACAGAATATCAAACACTTACTTTTATCAGAACTATTAAAATCAATTAATGAGCAGGTTGAGTCTGCAGAATGCAGTCAGAAGTTTCTTAACACTTAACAATAGATTTATAATTGTTTTTATAAGCACACCAGTGAAACCCTCTTCAAGATGGATTCTTTAAGGGAAAAGACCTTAACTGCAATTTCGTCTCTGCTGCATATCAGCCCGGAGCCAGAGGAAGTCACTTAAATTTGCCTGATCCTCCGTTTCCCAGATATAAAATGGAACCTAAGTTACAGTTATCATCACACAGCACTCAGCACCGCAGTGAGCGCCGAGGGTTGCTGTTAATGTGAAACTGCCCTGTCAAAGGGAAAGGGCTATTATCGTAATTCAATTCATGAAACTCCAGCTTTTTAAACTACTATCTGACCACTTAGTGTGTGTCAGGCAGGAGCTGTACCCAACACTTATTAAATACATGATTCCATTTATTTTTCACACCACACACAGAGTCGAAGCACTGACACCCGCCCGCCCTTCTGTGGAGGGGAAAAGTGAGGCTCAGCGTCATTAAGTCGCTTCTCCCTTAGCCACAGAGAGTAAGAACTCAGCTCCGCTGACTCTTAAAATCCAAGCTGTTTAACCACGATATTATTTTGCCAGAAGCTTGACTCCAGATTTTGTTGCGTGAATCACTAAATTTCTGTAACTTGTCTTTATACTTAAAAAAAAAAAAAAAAAAAAAAAAACCAAAAAAAAAAAGGGCTTGTCTTTATACTTAAAAAAAAAAAAAAAAAAAAAAAAATCCAAAATAAAAAGGTGATCTTACCTGCAAAGTGTATCTGTTTTTAAAGCAGTTTGTTACTAATTCTCCTTTTGACAGCTGATATAACCATGTCAATTTTCGGCCACTGTGACGGCTGGCATAAAACGCTGTGAATCGCTGGTAACTCCGTTCCAGCTGGATACAGAGGGGGAAGAGCATTTGTGGAATATATATCTCACCATATTCTACAGTCAACATCTCTAAATAAAAAACTGTTCCAAGTTTACCGGACAAAATGCTTACAGAACAGTAAAATACAAATATCAAGTGTTTACTCTCTTGCAAAAAAGCACGTTGATTTAAGCATTTGAAGGTACAATCAAAAAGTTTTTAGCTCCAGACAAGTAGGTATCATCATGAAGTTCATCGCAGAACTGTTAGGTTCTACTTTCGAGAGTAAATGACCATGCAAATGCACACTGTTGAGCTGGAACAGAGGTGGCGCACCTCTGGATCTCCTGCCCTGCCCGGGGCTCGCGGCTGCCTTAGCACCGCCCCGTTTAATGCCACATGGCCGACTAGCAGGAAGGCCTTCTGCAGACAGCACGTGTATAGTGGTGGAGGCTGCCCCTTTTCACCTTTGCTCAACACGAAGGGAACGAACAGATGATAGAGTCATCCTTACCTCCGACGGCAAGGCAAACGTACAAGACTGCTGAAAGGGCCACGATCCAGAGCTCAGAACTTGAATACTGAAGTCCACTGGGGGAATGGGGAAAAATTCAGGAACACATTTAATTAGCCTTATGAACTGAAAAGTGCCACCATTTCAGATAAACATGGATTGCTTTTTATTAAAAGAAAGCATACTGAATGAAAAATCCTGCTTTAATATAAAACTAAGGATTGAACACATTTAATTTCAATTAAATTGTTTTATTCAATTAAATTCAGTAAAGGAAAGAGGAGCCAGAAATTCCCTCCTCCAAAGAGTGAGTTTTTCATTTCTCTTCTAACACAGAATTACAACATCGTGTGCCTGTTTGGCTGCACCTGCTTTAGTTTTCTGCCATGAATAACCCTCAGTCCCCCTGAGGCGCACCTGAGGCCACCAGGCATGGATGGCATGAGAGCCCCAAACTCTAGACAACGAGGACCCCAAAGTAAACCGACTTCATTGTTCTGTGTAGCACAGATTACTCTGTGTATAGCACACGGACTATATATGTCTAACACACATATAATCTATACATTGTTTGTAACAGTAATGTCATCATCGCAGATGGCTGACAAGTCCGCTGGCACAGCTGTCAAGTGTAACAATGAAAGAGTGCTTTCAATTTGGGAAAAGTACAAACCTTGTGTTTCATTTAAAAAGATAAAATCACCGCATGATGATGTCAGCATCACCTGCCACCTCCTGCTGCAGGCAGACCTCACAGCAGGAGCCCAGCTGGCCTCCATGAACGAGGCCGGGCACCCGCCTGTCCTGACCCCCAACGGCAATCGGAAGCCATGTTTGACTCTGTTATCTATACAGCCAATTCAGTTTCTTATAATTTAAAAAACTGCTAGAATGGAATTAAACTAAGGTTAAAAAACATTCATTGAAACTTAAACTGTGCGTGGAGCCCCGAGATGGCAAATGCCTGGGGTGGGGCAGCCACGTCAGCCAGTAGAAGGGGCCAGGGCTCAGGACCTGGACCCAAGCCACCCGCCTGGCTCGGCCCTCCGGGAAAGGCCAACACGCTTCCAAGGCTGTCACCTCCTGTCACCACACAAGTCAGGAGGTGGGCAGTGCCTGTGGGAAGGACTTCCTGTTTGCCTGTCCCTGAATTTCCGATAAAGCATCCACCATCTCTCTCACTAGCTACAAAGAGCGCCACCTCCCCCGAGAACCCTGCCTGTAAAGGAAGCTCGGAAACCCGGGCATACTCACAGTCCAGAGGCTCCGAGTTCGTCAGGTGCTTTTTGAACTGCTCATTCAAATCTTTGCTTACACCAATGTCTTGAAACATCCGCTGAAGTTTAGAGGTATACTCGAAACCACAAGCTTGCTGAAATGAACCCAGATAACTGCCTTATTAATTTCTATAGAAATATAAATGTATACAGGGAATCCGATGGGGATCACAGTACATGACAGATGCTTAACTGTATTACTAAAGCTAGTTAACAATTAACTGTATCTCAGGGTATAAACATGCACGGATTAAAATTCATGTACTATCAAAAATTATACAGTTATAAATGGAACGGTTACGACTTTATACACACAGTAACTATCACGCAGGCCCAAAGAGCAAGGATTTCTGACCCCGTGGGGGAACACCAAGATGACATAGTTCGCTATGTCTCTCATCCACTACCACAGACTGAACGGTGCCCCTACCCCAGTCCTGTGCTGATGGCATTTGGAAGTCGGGCCACAGAGAGATAATTAAGTTTAGAAAAGGTCATGAGGGCGGGCCTCTGCCACGTTGGGATTAGTGTGGTTGCGAGAAGAGACGGAGAGGTTGCCCCCGACTCCGCTCCCTGTCCTGTGAGGACGTGGCCGGGCGGCCCCAGGCAAGCTGGGAAGAGAGCCCTCATCAGAAACTGAACTGGCCGGGACCTTGATCTTGGACCTGCGGCAGCCTCCAGAGCTCTGAGAATAAATTTCTCTTGTTCAAGCCGCTCAGTCTATGGTATTTTGGTGCGGCAGCCCGAGCTGAACAAGATACCCGTGGAACTATAACTTCGGGTCAAAGTGAAATATGCTGCAAAACATGTAGCAGCATTTGACAGGCTAGCAAGCACTGACACAAATGCAGGCTAAGTGCAGAGGCAGCTGAATAAAGCAATAAATACTCAACAGCAAACTAACACTGACGCTTTCTGTCCTCCTGCAGACGAAGGGTTACTAATTGTTAACCAAGCCCAGAAAAAAAACAAAACACCCCGCCCGCTCAAGGCCAACAGCACAAGAGTACGGGCCACGCCACGTGGAGCAATTCTTGGTGGCGGGGGCAGAGGTGAGGCCACAGGTGCAGGAGCGGGCGCTGGGTGTCGAGCAGGGCTCGGCTGGAACAGAAGGGCCCCTGGGTGTGTGTACTGGGCAGGCAGGGTGGTCAGGAGAGCACGTGAGGCCTGACGAGGGGAGACCTGGGCTTATCACAACTGTGGCGGGTTCTCGGTAGCGGAGCAGCAGAGCGCACACTGCACGGACTCCGTGTTATCACTGACTGATGGCTTTGCCCAACTGATAACCTGGAGAGACTAAGAACTTTAATGACTTAAAACTGGAATTGTTCAGGAAAAGATTACATTTACCTTTAACTTAGAGATCATGCTTGCTTCGGCATCATCACTTGCACTGTTCTGATGGACGAGCCTCTTGGCCAGCATCTTCGCGTAGAACTTCTGAAACACGTCTTTGTCCTCTATGTACTTGAAGACCACCATCTAGAAAGCCACCACGAGAACACACTTAACGCACTTACAATCTGTCACCAAACACAGGCCAGAAACCAACACGTGTGCTCTGTCTTGTCCGGCCCTGTATGCCAACATTTATGACGACAAAAAATACTGTCCTGCTTCCTTGGTGGCGCAGTGGTTAAGAATCCACCTGCCAATGCAGGAGACACGGGTTTGGGCTCTGGTCCAGGAAGATCCCACATGCCGCGGAGCAACTAAGCCCGTGCGCCACAACTACTGAGCCTGCGCTCTAGAGCCGGCGAGCCACAACTACTGAGCCCGTGCGCCTAGAGCCCGTGCTCCGCAACAAGAGGAGCCACCGCAGTGAGAAGCCCGCACACCACAAGGAAGAGCAGCCCCCGATCACCGCAACAAGAGAAAGCATGCGTGCAGCAACGAAGACTCAACGCAGCCAAAAATAAATTTTTAAAAAAAGTTAAAAAAAAAATACTGTTCTGTAATCTTTAAAGTAAATATTTTCATCAACCCCTTAAATCACATTAAGTTGGTCTACACTTAGTACTAATGAGGAAAGTACAAATGCTAAAATTAATGACTCAACATAGGGAGTAAAATCATAGATTCAAAATAAAATAAATGATTCTACTACTTTCCACATTCCAGATGGCTCATATAAATAACTTTAAAGCCACTTGTCAGAGAAAAGGTTACAACATAGCGACATAACTATCCAGCACCTTACCACTTGGTTGAGCGTGTCTTCTAGTTCTGCTTCTTCTGGGTTCTTGGAACTGAAAATTTTTAAAAGGCACAGTGTTTTAAAACAAATCAGCAAACACTTACTAAACAAGCACCACTTAGCCAAACTACCATATCAGACTGTGGTTCTGAACATTCAAATGCTCAGTTCTTTTTCAGATTAACAGGTGGAAGAGGGAAAGTTAGCTTTCCTTACCTGTGGCAACTTGGCAATCGTATACTGTGTCTCAATTTCATAATCTATTCTCCCATATAATCATTTAGAATATCCACAATGAAACTGAACAGAGGATACTTGTTAAAAGTTCCCCAAAACATTCTGAACCAAGTTTTCCTTTAAGATAATCCATTTAAATGTAAGTAAATGAGCTTCACTTTTCTAACTGCATTCTACAATATGCTTTAAGTTAACTTTGAAAAAAGAAAAAAAATGCCTTTTAATGGCCTAATAACTAAAGACAATGAAAGGGGTTTTTAAACCACTTCTCAAGTGTTGCCTTCCGTTTGTCATTATGTCTACAAAATAGATGCTTGTCCTTTAACAACGGATTCATTCACTCTATTCTACGAGCAAATATTAACTGAAAGGTGATTTCAGGGTAAATAAAAATTTAAAGCTTTTATCCCAAGAGTCCTTTATAAACAAGACCCCTATAAATTCATATAAAATGATCCAACCACCAGACAGACTCCTATTTAAGAACAGTTGGCTCCGAAGGTCCATTCTTCTCTCTCTCTTTCTCACTGAGAGGTCAGGGCTGTATCTCTCCTGAAAGAGGTTAATTTAGTGCCCACTGGAGTCTAGTCACTGACACGTGCTCAATAAAGCAGCACTTTTGGAACTATCCGCCATTCTGTCTGCTTCAGCAGCCTTAACTAAAGAATAATCTATCAAGAGACTTGATGAGACAATTTCTAAAAAGACAATGGCTAAAAAAGAAGCTATGTATTCTGCCAAACAAACTGGAGCTCTATGAGAGTACCTACATATTTAAAATATTGAAAACTTTCATTTTATAGAGCCTAAAAAATGAAATCAGGTCAGAAGAGGCATCCCAATTTAAAGTCCATTTTCACTCCTGAAATGAATACATCAGTGGATCTGACTAGAATTGCTAAATTATACATTAGACAAGCATTGTGATAAGTAGGGGGAAAAAATCAAATACTCAATTTGCACTGGGCCTTGGGCAAATCACTTTCCGGCAAAGTTAAAAGAGAGATAGCTACTGACCTTATCAAATGTTTTCTCATGTCAATCAAGAAGACCACATAGTTGTTCATATAGCTCTCAGTTAATAAAGCCAACTACATTAGATTTGCTCCTGTTGAGCCATCCTTGCATTCATTCCTAGAAAGCTATTCTACGTTCTGGACAGTTATCCTTTGGTTCGCTGATAAATTTAGTTTGCTAACATTTTACTTAAGATTCCCACAACTCTCTTCTAAGTGAGACTTGTTTGTAGTCTTTTGCTTGGTAGTGTAGGTGTTCTCAGTCTTTTTTTGTAATGGGATTATACGAGCCTTTGAGAGCTGCTTAAAATACAATTTACTAATATTAAACCAATATGATTGGGGGGCACGGAAAACCACTGCAAAATCTGTTGGTGTGATATCTGTAATAGGAAAATAAGCCTTGAGCGTTTCTAAACTGAAAAAAGCTACTCCTCAGTGAAAGAGATGCTGATGAAACCAAAACAAACACACAAAACATTAAGTGAGAACTTCCTCAAAAAACGCAACACAGAGAAGAAAACCACATTAGATTACGTTGCCTCTAGTGCTTAATACACACGCACTGATTAGGAAAAATACCAGCTGAGAAATAAGACGGTTAAAATATGAGGACTATGAAACAGCAATAAAACAAACTCGTTAAACGAAAATAAATGTTAAAAGTACACAGACTGATGCAAACACTATAGTATGCGGAGAGTCTTCTGTTTTAAAACAGCAGCCAGTGGGAGCTACTGCAGATTTTCAACTGGAAAAAAATTAATCGAGGCCAGTAGAAAAGAGCAAGTAGGGAGTGAAGAGAAATGGTGACTTTGTGCTGTAACCTCCACCCTTGTCACCACCAGCTGGACCTGCCCAGCGGAGTCTATTTAGCTCAAGGGTCACGCGCACACCACCTGCCATTATAGACATGAGTGATGTAAGAAAAGCAGGAACTGGGCCCAGTACACGTAACGTGAAGTGCCTTTTAGGAAGACAAGGTGCATTAGGTTTACAGGATTTTCTCACAAGGTACAAAAGTTACATACGTAAAACGTAAGATAAATTTTAACTCCTCATCTAGAGGCTGAGATTTTCAACAGGTTTTTACTAAGAAAAAACACAAAGTCACTAGTACCTCTTCTTCAACAAGGAGTCACAGTATCGAGCCAGCAACTCGGGGGATTTACTGGATGACTGAGCCATTTTGGTAACTGCGTTGTTGTTGATGAAGCGACCGCAAGCCTGTAGATCACAGAAAACACAGTCAGAGGCCAGTGTGCCGGCCACTGTCCCCAGGAGAGCCACGGGCCAGCACACCCACCTTGTCCAGTGCGGCCACGAACCCAGCGTCGTTGTTGAACGCTGACATCACTAGGGCGTTGTATTTTTTATGAACATCCAACACTGTCTGTACATACATTTTGGGGTCCTTGGGTAGAGGGAAAAGCAGACACACAGGTTGGTTTCTGGGGACTAAATTGCACAGCGACACGCGACGAGAAAACATTCCCAAAGGTCTGGATACTTCTTCAAAGATGTCAACAAGTAAGATCAAAAAACAGTTTTCATTCCATCATCAAAACACATAGGATATAGCATGTTTATAGATATAATAAAAGAAAATATATTCTCTGCACTCGAAATTAAATACTGACTTCAAGCTATATGAAAAATAGTGATTTTTTTCAAATTACCTGAAAACTCAAAGGGATGACAGAAAACAAACTTTCAAAGTGGTAGCTTTGCCAATTTTTGCTGTTAACAATTCAACTTCTCGACTCTGTTTTGGCTGGGGAAACCAGTCTATCAGTTATTTAGAACTTAGCTGGGCAGGCGATACAAAGAACATAGCTTTTAGGTCCTAGGAAGTGTGGCTGAGGGGCCGGGGTAGCAAGGGTGAGACTACTACATCTGGGAAAATCAGAAGACCCACGTGGACAAGCAGAGAGAACTGAGATGGGAAAGGCCAGGGCCTGGGAGACAGGACAGGCAGAGCACTGTGGGATCGGCAGGGTAGCCCAGTGGGAGTCTCTGGACAAAGGAACAACAGGATGGAAATGAAATGTGAAAGTCAGCCACAGGAGAGGCTTCTGGAGCGATACACAAGGAACACAGGAAGGGGGGCGCCAAAGGAGACAGTCCTGGGTAACAAGAAAGCAGAGGCCGACGCTGAGCGCCTGCTGCGCACCGGATGGCGCTGAGCCCGCTGAGGGCTGTCACTACTACCCTGCTGCGAGGCCAGTACTGTTCGCATCCCCTTCTCACAGACGAAGAAAACAAAGTCACAGGCAACCATCCGGCCAAGGGCCTAAGCGGCGGCAGTCAGGCCCGGATACGGGCAGCCTGACTCCTGAGAGCCTCTGAGAAGGAAAGGGCCCAGGTGAGAGGTCGGGAAGACAGGCTGAGCCCGCGTGGTGCGCACTGAGGGCACGGCGGCCAGCACGTCACAAAGGGAAGCCCTGGTGCAGGGGGCTTAAATGGTTTGCCAGCGTTTCCAAATTCCTCACAGGTGTTTCTCCTCGGGATTCAGGAATGAGAAACCAGAACTCCCCCAATTCTAGTTATTCTGCATTTTTGTGACACTTGACTTGTTTTTAAATAATAATGAGGAACCATTAAGAGTAAATCATTTTTCTGTGATAGATAGGGTTATACTAAGAGTTTCAGAGGTTTTCTGTTAAAGATGTAATTAAAATGCCAGGGTTATTATTACGAACAAATGATAACAAGATTATCATTTCAATGACATGTAAAGTGGCCTCTACCTGATAGACATTCGACAAAACATTAAAAGGGAATTTAACACAAAATAATTGCCAAATAAAAATCACTTAAAATATTGAAAGCCAATGCCACATATGTTTAATGTTTAAAAATTATCTATCTTAAAACTCAGAACACGCACAGCACTAACTGCTCCACCAGATAACCCGGCTCTCAGTTTCGTGACAACTATTGCGGGTGTAGAATTCCTTGCATTCTGTATTAATGGTCTTATTCACCAGACTGCACCCAAAAGCATCTCTCAGTTGGCACACAGCGTACTTCATATAAGCTCATTTCTTTTTTCTAACAATGAAAAAATACAGTCCGCTTGACTTAATTTTGGTTTTGCCATTGAAATTGATATTGCTTTTGCCAATTCAGATTGCTTTCTGATTTCATGTCAAATTATTTCACGTCATTCAAATTATTTTTCTCTCTGCATTTGTTGTTTTAAAGTGTTTACAAACAATAATCTCTAGCAAGTATCTACACACCGGAAAATGCCAGCGAACATTATCGTGTAGTATTTGAATAAAGGATCATTAAAGGTTAACAGCGTTACAAAGAACCACGTATCAAAACTGCCAAGTTAAGGGCTTTGCTTCCAAAACTTGCTATTTCTTGGAACACCACTCACAGGATTGATATAAAGTATATTATGTATATAAACAGGTTAGTTTTTTTTATCTGCAAGAATGACTCACCCTTAGCAGCAGAGAGGGACACATGCACGTTTATACCTGGGCATCACCTACAAGGAAGACGGACCCACTGGGTGGCACTGCTCCTCTACCTCACCCTGGCTCCCAGGGACGACCTGAAGCTTGGACTCCCCACATCAGCACCCCACCCCTTGTCCTGGACCATCATCAATGGATTCCTTTGAATCAGGAAAGTCTCCACGGTGACCATTATGTTTGCAGGAGAACTACAACGCTC